TTTTGGATTTCTAAATACTAATCTCTAGTTAGAGTTATATGAATGATTTCATACTTATATGTTACTGACTCTATTTTTCTTACATACTCCTACTTCTTCCCCTTGGGAGTGGTGGAGATGATCTCGCTAGCACTTTGACACTCGTTGTTTTCCCCCCATTTCAGGCAGCGAGTTTGGCGCACGGAGAGTCGCAGGTTGATGGGATTACATCTTAGATTTCATCTAGATATTATTATATTTGTAGTTGTTTTAGAACTCCACATTTAGTTGTTTATTTTTCAGACTCTAGACTTGTATTTTGTAGAGGCGGAATGTCTTATTGAGATTTATTTTGACTCATTGTACTTAAGGTTTATTTCAGACTAAGAGATATTTCGAATGTCTTATTGAGATTTATTTTGACTCATTGTACTTGAGGTTTATTTCCGACTCAGAGATATTTCTATTCTATTTTAGTTGGGCTTATTGATGATTACTCTCCTATTATTTCTGTGTACACCGGGTTCATTCTATTTTTATTATTTTGTATGTCAGTACTTTCACCTATTTGTTGTTTCCACTAGAGAAATAGTAACTGTGATAGTGAAACATGTCGTAGCATGGTATTTGGTGCTTAGCAGGTTTGATAATCCGGGTTTTACCTTGGACTATAGCCTTGTGTGAACCCTGGGGCGTCACACCATGCGCTAATACAAATAAGATAGGAGCGCGAAGAGAGTCAAGAGACTGCATCAAGAGGTTTCAGGCCAAGAGATTGGAAGTAGACGATTATGGGAGTGCTGTCACCATGTTTGCCATCGTGGCTAGTCTACATGACAATGAGTTGGCCGACTCGCTTACCAAAAAATAAGTCACCAGCTACGAGCATCTGATGGCTAAGGTACTTGGATACATGGACATCAAGGACGCTCGAGCCTATAAGTAGGCAACCAGGGAGGTAGAGGCAACAACAACAGCAGCAACAACAATAACATCACCAGGAGCCTACATGGGAACACTAGCCTTTAAATTAGTGGGAGAGGCCAACCTGTTACCAAGAAAAAACACGACAAGGGGTCCCCTAGAGCCAACCTTAGATCCAACGGGGTCAACAGGAGGGACCAAAAGAAGGAACCCCTCTAGAAGCCAATCTTACAGCCCTTAATACATCTGTCATAGAAGCCCTCTACATGGTCTAGAAAGAGGGGCATCTCAACTGCCCCCTCCTTACATAAAGTCAAATCCTCAGTCTCGAGACACTAGATAATACTGCCGATATCATCAAGATCACGACCATCTTACCAATGATTGCTAAGTCCTATAGAGAGATATTGAGGACTTGATACAAAGAGGATACTTGAAGAGGCTAGTCACCCAACGAGACTTCCAGGTCGCCTCGCCCCTAGCAGCTGCTAGAAGTTTGACCAGCAAAGTCTAGCAGTAGGGGGTCATTAATACTATCAGTGGTAGTCCCACTGCTAGAGGGCAATCGAACAACACTCGCAAGAAGTATGCTAGGAGAGTGATGCAAGTCAATTTGTGTGACAAGAAATTGAAGACCGATCAACCCATCTCTTTCACTGACTCGGATTTGCAAGGCATTGAGATTCCACAAGATGACCCTATAATCATCTCGGCCAGAATCAATGACTATCAGATCAAGAGAATTTTAGTTGATAAGGGGAGTTCTACAGACACCCTGTTCATAGATGCCTTCAACTAGATGGTCATCAATAAGTCCTAGCTATAACCTTGTCAGGGACTGCTCATTGGATTCATAGGACATGCGCTTTTACCAGAAGGGATGATCATTCTCCCCCTAACGATCGGTGAATACCCTTGCCAATCCACTATTTAGACCCAGTTCTTAGTGATGAATCTCAAGTCAGCATATAATGTCATTCTAGGAATGACTGCCCTCAATAATTTACGGGCAGTGCCCTCTACTTACCACTAGATGGTGAAGTTTTTGACTCTAGGTAGTGTCAGAATTGCCAGAAGTAACCAAAAGGAAGCCAAATCCTATTATCTACTCTCGATGAAGGTGAACGGAATACTAGAGACCTTGCCCATTGAGAAGACATGCCTCTAGATGGAGAAAATGTTGGAGCGAAAAAGGACAACTCCTGTCAAATAGCTCCATGAGATACTGATTGACCAAAATGGATTGAAGAAGATCAAAATTAGATCTAACTTCATTGAGCCTCAATGAGGAACCTTAAGTGCATTTCTATTGGAGAACATCAATGTATTTGTTGGGGGCCTAAAGATATGCCAGGGATTCCCCCGAAATGATGAGCCATGAACTCCAAGTCGACCGACACACTAAGCCAGTTCGACAAAAGAAAAGACATCTCGGTCCAGAAAGATAGAAGGCAGCTGTAGATGAGGTAGACCGACTCCTCAGACCCGGTTTTATCTAAGAGGTCCAATACCCATAATGGCTATCCAATGTCTTACTGGTGAAGAAAGCCCTCAACAAGTGGAGAATGTGTGTAGACTTCACTGATCTCAACAAAGCTTACCCAAAGGATAGCTACCCCCTCCCACGAATTGATCAACTAGTCGACAAAAGCACATGTTATGAACTCTTAAGCTTCATGGATGCTTTCTCAGGCTATAATTAGATCCTCATGGTGGAACATAATCAAGAGAAAACATCATTCATTACAGACCAAGAAAACATCATTCATTACAGACCAAGGTACTTATTGCTACAAAGTGATGTCTTTCGGTCTCAAAATTACAGGCACCACCTATCAGAGGCTGGTCAACAACATTTTTAAGCCACAACTCATCCGCAATGTGGAAGCTTATGTGGACGAGATCCTGGTAAAATCCAAACATGCTTCATCGCACATAGTGAATCTTGAAGAGACCTTCTCCGTTCTCCGGCACTACCGCACATAGTAAATCCAAACATGCTTCATCGCACATAGTGTCAAGAAATTAACTTTCTTGTATTTCTATAAAAATTTATATAAGAAGTTTATAGAACTAAAAAAGTACTACTTTTCTTGTTTGTTATTGTTTCTTTGTTTGGTTCAAAACATAAAAATAAGTTCCTATTTTTATAGAAAATATGTTTTTTTCTTTTATTTGGCTGGATAAGAAATTTTTATGAAATAGTGAAACTCATACAAGAATGTAGGCAATTTAAGTTTTCAAGCAATTTCAAATTTTATGGAAAAGTGATTTTTTACTATTTTAACATAAATGTCAAATTTCCTTTCAATTTTCGCCCATTTGGGGAGGAAGTTGATATTTGTAAAATAGTACACTTTTCTCTACTTCATAGAGAATATTTCTATAACTTTTTTTTTGAACCAAACACAGTTTATAGAAATCTACAGAAATCTATTATTCACGGTAATGCCGTTATCTGGTGTTTTCTCAAAATTTTTCTATAAAATAAGTGAATCAAACAACCCCTAAGTCTCCATCTTAAAATATTATTGAGAAAGTAGACAATTTATGATTATTACTAATATGATATCCTATCTTTACTAATTTTTATAAACAAGGGTTATTAGTTCACCCGAGTCTCTCTTTAAAATACTAATAGAGTACAATGCACTTTAAAAAATATATAACATGTAAAGATCTACAAAATTAAAAACTTTTCTATTACAAAATATTCTTTATGATCTGCAAAAAAGTAAACAAATTATGTAGACAAAAATATAAAAAATCCCCTAAAAATATAAAAATCACAAACAAAATTGCAAAAAAAAATTATAGCACCGTGAGAAACTATGACATTACAAAGAAACCTGCTAAATAATCAAAAAACTTCAAATGATCCTAAATATTCTAAATTTATAAATAAACCCACGAAAAAATTTAAAATTACAGACATTCCCCTGAAAAGCTGGAAATTAGAAACAATGCCTTTGAAAATATAAGAATTAAAAAAATGACTAAAAATCTAAAATTTCAAGTATAAACTGAAAATTATGAAAACTATAAAAAATACATCAAATAGATAATGACAAACAACATACTAAAATATATGAAATTATAAACAACGTCTTGAAAAATAAAAAAAAATTCAAACAGACACTTAAATTACAAACACTCCGCTGAAAATCCAAATTACAGACAACTTCGTTGAAAATCCAAAAAATTCTAATTGACCTGTTGAAAAATTCCAAAATTATAAATTAACCTCTTAAAAAATCTAAATATTATGAACATCCGCTATAGGTAGTTTTCTGCCAAAATTATGGAGGTTAATTGGCAAAACATAAAACATACTACAGATTTCCAACCAAAATTTATTGGTGATATTTTCATTATTTAACTAGAAAATTAGATCAATCCGTATGAACATGGTAACAATACTTATAAGTAAAAAAAAGAAAAAGAAAAAAGAAAACAGGTGAGGATATATAAACATAAATTTGATGCAACTACAAGGCATTTAAGTGCAATTAAGCTTTAAATTAAAAATTGATGGATCCAATCCAACCACACCGAAAGCCACCACCTCACATCCAAAAAGCGACCGCTCGTCTGGGGCGTGAAAGCGACACATCTCCTCGCTAATCCTTGATAGCCTCGCATTTTCTCACTATCCCCACCTCCCAAATAAAAAATAAAAAATAAAAAATTAAATTAAAACCATATCATATCATATCAACCCAAAAATAATAAGTCACATAATATCAGGAAACGAGCATCCATTCTCAGCCCCTAGCACCTTCTCTTATACGCACACATAAATATTCTCATCATCATCATCTCAAAGTGTTACTAGGGTCGGCTCTTAGAGGTTGGCTAACTTAATGGTATTATTATTATTATTATTTGTGTTTGTATGTGTTTTAATTTATTTATTTACTCATCTCCTCATCTGGTAATGCCAATAGTTTGTTTGGTACCACTGTTGCGTCTTTCTTTTATTCTATTCTAAGATTAAAAATTCCAGAAAATAAACGGAAAAGAGAAATGTAAGGTTCCTTTTACCTCTTACCCTCTGTTACCCTCTTTGTTTCTTTCACTTTCCTCCATTAACAAACATGGATTATTCCTTTTACTATCTCTTTGTTTAGTAATAATTGGGATGCTATGTTTAGATTGTTTTTATGGGATTTTTGTTTCGGAAATGCTAGGCTTTGCCCATCAATAGAGAAAAAGGGCAAAACCCATTTCAAATCCTGAAGAGGACTTTATTGGTCACCATGGGATTTCCCTCTTTTGATGGTTTTGATCTTTTACAGGCCATGGGCCTTAAGTTGTCCATGAAAAGGGAACTGGGTATGTGTTTGTTTTTGGGGATGACGCTTCTAAAGTCTAGATTTAGGTGGGTTTTGCGTTATTATTAGCATTAAGATGTTGAATTTTTGGTTGATGTTCCTTAATTATTTCTGAAGATATTAAGTTTTGGTATGTGAAGGTGGGGATGAGATGAACAATGGGGATTCACAAAATTGCTATGTGATGATGAATGAGCCGGTGGATGCTGACAAGGGGAAGGAGCTTATGCCAGCAGTTGAAGGGAGCACGATGACTGAGCCTAGTTATCAGCATAAATATCCAGAGCCTTTTGCAAAGTACAAGGATGTCGTCGAAGACAGTAAGTTGTTCATGGATACCCTTGGGAAGCTACATGCAGCAATGGGAACAAAGTTCATGTGAGCTCCATGTTCTCTCTACTTTTGGTTTTCATTTAGTCTTAAACCCCAGTGCTTCCCTTTGTGCATCTTTTCACCCATTTATTCTCTTATTAGTTTTGTAGCTGAAGTATATACACTGTGGTTGTTAGACGCAAAAATGCCCTTCTAGTTCTAGTTCAAGGAGAAAATATGTGCAGTTTAGGGTAGAAATATGCATAGTAAATAGACGATTGATGTCATAATACCATATGCAGCGTTTTAAAGTTCACTTTATGTCTTGGTAGTCAATCTGCGCCGCCCTCACATTTTAGGAACAAGCAAGCCCTTGTTCAATTGTAGCTAAAATTATCTAGAAAACAGTTGCAAAGCATACAGATGGGATCAAAGGCTTAAAGTTATTTGTGGATAGATTCGGAAGCTACTTGCAACAATCTAAACCAAGTTCCTATGAGCATATTATTTATTGCCCTTTCCATACTTGTATGATTTGGGAATGTAATCATCAAGAGCTAATTTTCCCCTTTAGCTTTATGATTAAAGGACTTGAACATTGAATTATGCCACTGAGACCCGTTGTGGTGGGTTTAGGTCGTAGGAAGATCTAGTCCAAGCTAGCTGCGGCCTTTGTCCCAGAAAGATAAAAGGAAGAAAAAGAAGCAGAAGAAACACTAGAAGTATTTCATTACATTTTATTCATAGGTTTTAGCTTTGTAGAGGAGCTATAGATGTCATCATGATTCATAGTGGCCATGCCATATTGAAAAGCGAGTTGATGTTATATCACACCCTTCCCTAGGACGCCTAGCTGGCCTTGGCCCCCTTAGGCCATCCACCTATGTTTTGAGAGTGCCTAGGGGAGTGTGGGTCGTTTATGTAGACCGCACAACTTAGATTTGTTATTTCCTTCGCTACAACGTTCACATCTGTTTACACAGACTACACTGCCTAGGTCGTAGGAACGCCTAAGAGAGTGTGAGCCAGTTATGCAGACCGCCACTTGTTTGCCAAACATGTAAACTTTAATAATGGATTATAATCTGCTAAATTTACCCAAAACTATGAATTTTAATCCACTTGGATTATAATCTACCAATCGATTGTAATCCCTAGTTGGGAAACAGGCTTTGAAATACTTTTGTTGTGCACGCTTAATACTATATCTTACGGTATGTTTGTATAAAATTTTAGGATTCCTACTATAGGAGGAAGAGAACTCGATCTTCATCAGCTTTTTGTGGAGGTTACAGCTCGTGGTGGTATTGAAAAGGTAAGACAAGTCGTTTGTTTGTTAAATGCTAGATGTTGTTATTTCTTCTTTTATATTGTTTTAGTCCATATATTTAGTACTTTAAAGCATGCAAGAGAAAATAAGTTTCTAATTTAAAACAAAAGTTTAGTTTGTTGGTTGATATCAACCAGAGCCTAAAACTATTCCTTAAAGACATGTGCCTTTTAGTGGTTATAGACTATGTTGCTTCTTGAAACGGGTTTCTGCATGCTAGTATGGAAATGTCGTCCAAAAAATTGAAATTTAATCTAGGTAGAGTAATGTAGACCAATTAAAACTTTTTCTTATGTGATGGAATCTCAATGTATTACAGATATTTTTGTTAGGGTCAATTTTAAAGAATTCCATTAACTTTGGGGCATTCCTCATGAAACCACCTGAAGCTTTGTTTACTCCACTCATAGAAGTTGGGAGCGTGGGATGCCATTGTGAACCGCCACCCAAGTTCAATTATCTTGGATTCATGGTGAACATGAACCAACTTAGCAACTCCAATGACCTGATTTAAAATTCAAACCAACTAAAATTTTGAAAAACTTCTTTTCAAGAATTAACAACAAAAAACACTATAAATTTAATCAAATAAAGTATACATACCTTTAATTGCAACATGATTCTCAAGGTTCCTTTACCATCACTGGTATTAACTATTATATTTCTAAAATTTGACTCTTGCAGGACTTTGGATTCTTACATTTAAGAACGGAACCAAAAAGGTGCCACGTTTCGTGGCGTACCATATAAGCCTCCCTCCTTCCCTCATACCCGACTATTAATGAGTGGTGTATTGGGTAGCATGAGTGCGGACACAGGCACAAATATGGACACAGAACACGAGGAATTTGTAAAATGTAGGATATGGGGGCACGTAACGGAACCAAAAAGGTGCCACGTTTCGTGGCGTACCATATAAGCCTCCCTCCTTCCCTCATACCCGACTATTAATGAGTGGTGTATTGGGTAGCATGAGTGCGGACACAGGCACAAATATGGACACAGAACACGAGGAATTTGTAAAATGTAGGATATGGGGGCACGT